ACTTTAAATACTGGGTTTGGTTTTGGGCCACGCACTACAAGACAAACATGGAAGTGCTGGAGCAAGTCCAGAGAAGGGTAACAAAGCTGGTGAAGGGTCTGGAGCACAAGTCCTGTGAGAAGTGGCTGAGAGAGCTGGGGGTGTTTAGCCTGGAGAAAAGGAGGCTCAGGGGGGACCTTATTGCCCCCTACAACTACCGGAGAGGAGTCACTGCCATGTGGGTGTGGGACTCTTCTCCAGAGTAAGAAGAAACAGAAAGGAGAGGAAATGGCCTCATGGTGTGGCAGGGGAAATTTTGACTGGATATAAGGAAAAAATTCTTCACCGAAAGGGTTATCAAACACTAGAACAGGAACAGGATGCCCAGGGGACTAGTTGATTCACACTCCTGAAGGCATTTAAAAGGCATGGATGTGACACTGGTTTAGTGGTGAAATTGTCACTCTTAAGTTAACAGTAGGACTTTATCCCAAAGATCTCTTCCAATCTAAAGGTTCCTATCTTTCTATGCATATGAGTTTCTTTGATAATAAAACTATCTATCATGTTTTAATAAAATAAGAGTGAAAGCAAACACTAAATTTAAGAACTGACAAAACACAAACACATTTGGCTTTCCCACCACAGATTCCACCCACATTAGATGTCAGCCACCATTTGTGCAAACAGATACCTCTCACAGGGTGCTCTGAAAAGTTCTGGGAGCGTGGTACGCACATGTGCCTGAACTGTTTACCATCATTGGAGAATCTACTATGTCCTACTTTATATTTAGAATAAATTAGGGCAATATTTAGAACTATCACACACCTAGATTTCCTTGAATGAATTCTCTTCTTCCATGCAGAGATTGTCTCTTGCTGAATCCCTAGAGCTTGCGAGATTTGTAAAGACTTGTTTTTAAGACCCTCAATTGTTTGGGGAAGGGGCAGACAGAACCCCAGCTTCAGCGCAGGTCACCTCTCTGGTGCCTGTGTTCTGAGTGGGGGTGAAACAACCCCAGGGATGACAAGCTTTACTGAGTCTCTTCAGATTGGTCCTTTGGCAGACTGCAGTGTGACAGTATTGCCATAAGGAACACACGGGCAGTGGTACTGTTTGATTTTGTAAATTTATCTGTAAAGCCTCTGGACACAGAGAATCAGCCAGTAGCACTCTGCTTCACATCTGCTCCGTGCTGGGTAACAAATTATAGGAGCCCTTTCAAACGTCCCCTTAAGGCCTACTCCTTAGAATTGCACTGAGAAACATCAACTGAACATGAAGGTAAAAAAGTACTCTAACTGTCCCTCACTATAGAAGACACTTAAATTGGACAATCAGTATAGAAAGGTTGGCCTAACTTGCACACCACAAAATACAGCTTTATTTGAACCTCTGTAGGTGACATAGTTGACTCTGTTACAATACTATCACAACTGTTCTCTTTTTATAAGCCACATTTCTCAGAGCCTTCAAACTGCACCATGTAACTGAGATGGTTTTGAGAAAAAATTGGTGGTTTGAACAGTCTAGAACATTTATAATGTCATTTTTTATAATAATAAAATAATTATAATCCCTGGGTTTAGTGGAGGAGTTATTTAACAGCCATTTAAAAATTATGATTTCATAAAAACATTGGCATTTCAAGAATTGTTTTTCTCTAACATTTTAAGCAATTTTGACCTTTCATTATTAGGGAAAATAGCAATATACCAAATATTTTAATCCAAAACATATAGGAAACTTCTTTTTTTTCCTCTCCAAAGTGTATTTCCTAAGACAGGCAGGAGGTCCTGTCATGGAGATATAGCTTTGAACTGTCTGCTACACTGATCTCAGGACTGGCAATAAGTGTTATAAATTGAAACATCTTTGCAGTTACAGAAGCCTGGTATTCACAGCAAGAGTGAAGAAGGGTCTCTTACATAATGTGGAAAAAATATCGTGAGTTTCAGAAAAAATTTAATAACACAATAAGAAAGAATTGTTCATCCTATTCACAGAAAAAGGCAGAGGCCATCTGTTAAACTGGTGCTCGGTTATGTCACTAAAAAGAGTTTCAATGTCTGTGAAGACCTGTACAAAATTCATTCTGAAAAATATGTCTAATTCTGGCACAACCTAAATTTCAGGTAAACACATTTGTAATCTAAGCTATGTCCATTTAACACTGTTCTCATGTGCTATTTCCTGAGCTTCTAAACAATGAACTCACCTGTCAGTGTCAGCTCCTGACCATGGTCTTAGCACATCTCATCCCACCAAACACCATCCCAGCCCTTCATGTCAATGCTTCCAGGTCCACGTTCCTTGCTCAGGGAGTCCCAATCCCTCTTTGCAAAAAATGCCACTCCAGTGGTTATAGAGCAGGGGAGAAGTAGGAGGGTCTGAAGATATTATTCCATTATGTGACATGTGCTGCTGAGCCTGGCACAGCTGGCTCTGGTTCCAGGTACAGGAGTTACTGCTGGAATGACTTCCTGTGCTATGCATGGTCACTTCCCCCCAGCCCAGGACCCCCAGCACATGCTGGGAGCAGACACAGTCAAAGCAGTCACATCCTTCCCCACTTCAAGCAGCTGCTCTTCTCCTTTATGAAAAACCAAATCTGTTCTCCACATCAGTTCCAGGTGCAGGCCACCACTAGGCCACTTTGACACAGTTACAGCCTGTATGTCATGACAAAGTGCTTACGCTAATTCAATCCAGATTAACAAAGCATAGTAGGGAGCTTTTTTTTTTTCCCTGCAAAATCTTTGCAAGCTTTTAAAATTAATTTGTATAACATATATTTAGCTTCATTCACTCCCTCAGAAAGCAGGACAGACATGACATTGTCATTATTATTAACTATTGTAATCAATAAGAATGTTTTCTTTGACAATTAAAATGCAAAATTATTTAAGTGAAAGCTGTAAGTTTCATAAGATCATTATTATGACAGAGAGCCTAGAATTGTAGAGCATGTTTTAAATTCCCATCTGAAAGGAGCAGAAAGCCCAAAATGTAGACCAGACCTACTTCTTGTCAAAGTCTGGTGTATCCCTGAGACCCAGCTGTGAAGGGAAAGGTTCCTATCCTGAAAGGCCCTCAGCTGTCATGGATTTTTCAGGTGGGCAGAAAAGTGGCAACAAGAAGTCCAAGGGCAATCAAAGAGAGACATCAGGCTTTACGATGACAGGTTAAGGAATCAGGAGTACAAGTGGGCTTCTCCTCTATTCTCCCAGTTGCAGGAAGTGAGGAGGGAAGAGAGGGAGATCCAGCAGATCAATACTTGACTCTGAGCCCAGCATCACCAGCAGAATTTTGTGGGTTTTTGATCACGTTTACAGTTTACATGGCACCAGGCCTGCTGATAACAAATGGGGGGGTCACCTGTCTCAAAAGGGGAAAAGGATTTTTCTCAGGCATTAGCAGGGTTCATAGAGGGAGCTTTAAACTAGGTCTGAAGGGGATACCAGACTTGATACAGATAAACCAGGCAGCACCATTCCAGTGTCTGAGAGACATTTTGCTAGTGGAGTCCTACATTGTGCTGTCTCCACGGAGGTAGAGGATAGAGAGCCATGCAGCAGCAGACACAGACAAGGGTTATTGATGTGTTAGAAGAAATGGACATGCTAAATTAGTGGTAATCAATAATCTTGCAGGTCTTTTCCAACCTGTGCTTTTATAATCCTAAATGTATATGCTTTGTGTGTTATGTGTACAACAAATATATTGTTTATATTATCTTTTATACTACATTTCCTACACTGAATTGCCTTAAATAAACATTTTGTTACTACTTCCCCTGTATTGATTAGTCCTATTTTCCTCAAGGTTGCTTCTAAGAACAAAATCATGAACACCATGAAGTTGGTATAAGTTTTTTCTACACATCAGGAAGACTAAGGGGGTCAAGGTTTCAGCAGAGTTGTTTCACATAAGTACACACAACTGTCTACTTTGACCGAGTGAAATTTCCTTTCATTCTACACTGTCTTGCTCCTTACTTATCAGACCATGGTTATGGATATTGACATATGAAAATTCAGAGTTATTTCACTTACTCATGTTAATTACTTGCTTCAGAACCAATTTGATAGCAATAATAATAATAATAAGTAGTATTAAATTTTCTGTTCACAATCCACAACAGCAGATAACCATTCAGGGGAAGTAATAAAGGTTCACTGGTATACGAGTAATAACTCAAAAAAAGGTTAAAACAACATACATTAAGGTAAGCAAACTAATACTATTCATTTGATTGAGCTAAAATTCATGGCCCCCAATACTTTCATATTTAATTAGAAATTATCCTCTTATAGGCTGGGAAGTAATTTCAATCAATCTTAGTTTTCTTTCTGACATTGGAGTAACTACAAAACTATTTCTAAAAAGTACTAAAACCAAAAATCATCCTATTGCCACAAGAAAAATAAATCTCCATTGGAGTAAACCACGTCAGTCATTTTAAATTTGTGTCAAAACTTCAGTGGGTTAACTTTATAGACACAGGTCTTTTTTCAGATCAGATATTCTTTAACCTGCAGCAGAGAGCATGAAACTGGCATAAGGGCTGCATCATGTGCTCCCACACTTGATCCAGATCAAATATGCACTCATTGTGATCCAGGAGCACGCAAATCTGGTATTAAAGAACATGAAACCGTGGCCTTATATGACAGCCCAGCTTTAGATATTTTGCAGATTTCATTGATAGGTTTTTCAGTAGGCATGTTTTTTCCTTTATCTTATCCAAATACTTGTAGGAGCTGTGATGTTCTTTTCCACATAAATCATTAAATTTATGATTTAATAAATTAATAAAAGGGAAGGAGTTCATTTCAACTCTGTTAATGAAACACAAAATCAGAAAAAAAATCCCAATTCCCATTACAACAAAGCTGAGTCATCTGTGAAGGGCTGTATATGTGTGGCTGCAACCAATTTAAATAGATAAATGTCCAAAATAATAGAAACCAAATCAAATCTACATAGTGAAGCAATCAAAAAATTAGAAATCTTACCTTTTTCACTAACACTTTCACTTTCAATCTCTACATCATCACAACTTGTATATTCTGGCGTGGATGCCAATTCTTCTTCTGAGCTACTTAATGAAACCTGGCGCATTTTACCTCCTTTTTTCGTTTTATGGGGCTTTGGTGGTGGAGGTCTGACAGATTCAGACTGGTCAGAGCTGAGTGAATCATTCCGTAACATGGTCTCCATCTTTTCACGTTTTGTTTTCCGGACAGCGGAACTGGGATCCAAATGATGCTGTTTCCTTAAAGAATCAGAGCGCCTCATGTCTGGTCTTTCCAGAGGAATTGGACTCCTCCTAGGTGTAGGAGGGCTATGATTTGTGGTCCTCTGACGATTGGGACTTGGTCCCTGAGCCTCTCGAGTTCTTTCCATAGAGTATGAACGTTGGTTTTCCATGGCGGCCCTGCGCTCAGACACGGATCTTTGTCTTGATGGCCGTTCCATCCTGAGCATGGACATCCGGGAATCTTCCAGCTCTGTATTTGCCAGTGAGACGTCGCTATGCCTGCGTTCATGCCGCGCTCGGGACACTTCAGCGTGGATACGCATTTGCTCCTCATATGGCTGCGGCTTGACTGGATAACGAGCCAAATTAGGATCACTCCGGTATCGTGCCTGGTATTCCTCTTCCCTCCTTTGCCTCTCATATTCTTCCCTGCTTTGTGCATCTTCTTCTTCTACCGGATACTCCTTGGAACGCCTGCGGCTCCTTCTGTTGGAATCTCTATAATCACCCAGTTCAGGTTCTTCGTATAACTGGGGCCCACGCTGTGACCGCCTATCTGAATAATCTGATGGTGACCTGGGCATCGCACTGTCTGATGTAGCATACTGTGAATATTCGTCTCTCTCGTCCCTTTGGTCGTATCTTCTGCTCTGTTCTCTTGATATTGAAGGGCTTCTTTTCCTAAATAATCACGGCAAGAAAGCAGAAAGAGAATTCTGTCAATATTTTATGCAGCACAAATATACAGTTAATGCTAGTTAAAAGATAAAATGACCAGCTGATGGAAAAAAATCCGTTCATTGCATTTTTTGTGAATGTGCTCTCACATTTTCTGTACTAAATTAAAGAAAGGATGTCATGCTATAAATCTGCTTACAGTGCACAGTTTGAATAAAAAACAGTTTTGAAGGAAAAATGCTAATGTGACTTTATAAAATATAGAATACAAATACTTAGGCTACTTTGTAGTCATGACTGCTTTACAAGTACCAAAATTTTATAATCCTTTGTAATCATTTTACAGCAATATAAATTGACCATACACTTCTGTTTAATGGAGTTTTATAATCACCATGGAAATTAGGGCTAGAAGGATCATTCAGTTAGTTTACTCTTTTAGCAGCTGTTATTGCTCAAAAACACATGTCAGTTCCCACAAAACTATAATTTGTGCCAAAGGCAGAACATAGACAAAGTTTCAATGGTGGCACTTTTCTGAATCATGAGATGAACTCGGAAGTCCCAAAGTCAGAAAACAAACCACAGTTTTGTGTTGTGAAGGGAGTTTCAAAGTGCTGCCTGAGCTGAGAAAGAATCCTTCTCATCTCTTTAGGGATGGTAGCAGTATTTGTCCAAGCATTTGAGCAAGACAAATACCAGAATGGAGTTCCTGTGCCATATGAAGCATTAACTCATTGATGTCATTTATACCATCTAGCTATAGGCAGCTACTGAGGCTTCAGAGGAAGCCTTCTTTCCTGACACTGACAAATGATAGATTGAAGTATGTGATTAATTTATATGTAATATTTTCATAAAGAGTGTGTCTGGAACATACAATGAATGTTATGTTTTCTGTTTGACACAACATTGTTTGCTACATGACTAGAAGGTATCAGTTAAAAGGAAAAAAAACAAACTGGATCTTCACATCTTGCATTTATCAATCCTTACAGGTTAATAAGTGTGTAAAATGCTACTTTCCAGACATGTCCTGATTCATGCTTGGCTTTTCATCGTACATGGATCTGAAGAAGTTACCTGCAGAAAACTGGAGCAGAGATTGCAGATAAAAGAGACTGAGAGGTGGGCCTTCTCTGGGATAACATAGATCAACTCAAACTTTAAGTAATAAAAATACAAATGAGAAGCTATTTTTGTATTGTTAGTGTCCTTTCTTCTTATATTTAGTTCTACCTTTATAATTAAGATTCCTTTTAAAACATTTTCTACACTCACAAAATGACCACTGATTCTGAAGGGCAGCCTTGCAGGCAGCAGCCAGGAGATCCTGTCTAGTGTTTAGAAGGACAGCAAAAAAGACAAGCAAATACAAAGCCCTGTTTTTGTCACAGTTGACCTAGAAGAAGAAAGAAAACACTTCAACTCTGTGAAGGGGAGAACAAGAAAGAGGTTCTCCTTGGTGCCCAGGAAAGTATAAAAGGCTCTGTCTATCTGATAGGAGAGAAAACATTATTTTCACAGCCAGGAAAGAAATGCAGCCTCTGGACTTGAACAAGGAAAAACAAGGAAAAACAACAACTGCCAGTGCAGAGTGTGCATGGCCTGTGGGGTGACTGGCAAACTGGCATCCTGTACTGTTTTAGGTACCATACAGAATCATTAAACTGTGCTTGAAAGATTTGGACCCAGTATTGCCTTGTAAATAGTAAAGTACTTTAGCTTTGTAATGGCATCTACATATGAGAAAACTAATTCAATCTTGCAAAATGAAACGCTTTGTGTGAAGCATAACAAGTTCTATAAGCATCATGCAGATGCCTATTTGCTTACAGTGAAGATAAGATGTCCCATCTGTCTTGTTACAGTGGTATTTTAGTACCAGCACAAATTATAACCTCTGTACATTTTACAAAATCTCTACAGGTTCTGCTACTGGGGACTCAACTTGAATCGCTCTAATGTTCTGTAAGTGAACAGAGTTTCAGAAGGCTAAAACCAGAATGGCCAACAGGAAGGGACAAGTGGAACAACAGAACTACACAAATGCAGACAGTTTGCAAAGACATAGAAGCTTCTTTAAGACAACAGTGATTAGATGCAGAAATTATTTAAGGAAGATAAATATTTTTCACTTAAATACTTCAGATGATGAAAAATTATGCCACATCCCAAAATAAGTTGTTCCAATAGAAAATTACCCAATCCCTGAAAATTTCTGTCTTGGCTGTAGCAAAACTGTGCATAACTTCCTCTCCCCAGTTGTGTCCCCCATATAAGAAAAATATGCACTCATCAGATACAGACATTAATCCTTGTGAATCTCATTGAAAGATCGAGACAAACACATGTACACATGAAATGTACACATACACAGACTGTTAATACTCACACTGTGTATACTCAGTCTATATAACCTACAGATCATGTGTCTCCAGAGCCAAATTGTTTGCATCAATTTGATCCTCCAAAGCATTAAAACATTCTAGAACATATGGTTTATAAGATCAACTCCATGATGAACAGTGTAACACACAAAGCCATACAGATTCTGGTTTCACAAATCTCATGTGTGACTTGGAGCAGCCTGAGTGTACACATGCTTCAACAATAAAATCTACATACTTGTATCTACAGCAATACAAGCAACCAGCAGTAAGAACTGGTTTAGCTACAAATAGAAGATTATATAAACATACACAAAACATGTGTGTGTGTATATATACATACAAATAAATATATCACTCCATGTCACAGTGTTCTCATACGGATTCAATCCTTTTCTGACGACATTATGGCTATAATGTAATAGGAGGAAGGCTGAGGGGGATAAAACAGAGGGATTTCTGTACAAGTGAAAACATAACAGTTGACTTGTTGCTGAGGAAAATGTATGTCTATTAAGGAAATGCATCATCAGATGAACTGGCACATGACTTACTAAAAAGTACACCTGTTTTTTCTAGCATTAACTATGTTAATGAGAAGAGAATGTGTTGATTTAGCACTATATTTTTATACCGCTTGTACAAACATTCTCCAACCTCGTGTGCTACATCTACTACAAACAGTAATTTTTCTTCCTTCATTTAAGATATAAAAAGAGGAAACCATCTATGGCTGACAGTAATGTGAAGAGCAGCTGGGTCTTCAATCTACTCTAGCTTTTTATCAAGGAAAAAGCTTTGCATGGCTGTTCTGTGTGTGGCAGCTACTAGGGCACATGCAAGAAAAAGGACCTACCTGGAAATATAGTGCTTTTCTTCAGAGAAAGCAACCTAACAGAAAAAATTGAATTCCTGGCCTATGTTGACTGACATCATCAAACCCCCTCTCTAATTAATTTCACTCCTGTTGAAGTCAACTTACTTCACTACTGAAGTTACTGAACTAACCAGAAGCTGTAGTCCTGTCCATCAGAAATAAATTAACTCTACCTGTACACCTGATCTGCCAGAAACCTGCTGCCAGGAGAGGGCTCATCCTGCCCCACAGTCACCAGACACTTAGTATTAAAGTCTGTCATTCTCTACTGATCATCACAGCACAATGAGCCTTCCTTTAATATTCAACAATTTTTTAATTTTAAAAATACCTGCTATATACAGAGCTGTACAATGAATGCCATACATTTTAAATCAGAGTTATGAAACCACAGTAGGAGGCAACTAGTACTGATGAAAACTTATGGCTTGTCCCTACTATTAAAATCTGCTGCTATTTTTAGATCTCTAGCTAATTCTCACTCACCTTCATGAGCATCTGTCTAATCCATTTCTCACCATAAACTACCTTAAAGATGCCTTAATAAAGCCATTTTATCAAGTACCCCCAGCTGGATCCACCATGGAAAATGACTACTCCTGCCTTTCCAGGACTTTTCTGGAACTTTAAAAGCTAAGTGAACTTTAAGGGTGTGATATGCACCCTCCACCTGCCAACTGAACTAAGCACTACATATCTCTTGTCAGAAGGATTACCACATTTTCTGAAAAGGTTATCACACCTATTCTAAAAAGTCCTCCAGGCCATTGTGATTGCTACTTGTTTGAAACAACCATAAAATAAAATCTCTATTATGGTTTAAAAATCTCTTTGTCAGGCACATTCTATAAATGGGTTTTTTTTTCAGATACAGAATATGAAACTTATTTTTTCTTACCAATTACTGTATATTTATTTTTATTGCAATTTATCAATACCTGACATTTGGTCTTTTAATACACAACCCATAACCCTACACTGATGGAAAACTTATTTGCAGTGCACTACAGATATCACTAATATTATGGAAAAGCAAATACCTTGACTGCAATCTGTACTCCTGCTCATAAAGTTAAATTATTCAACTCCCCTATATCACAATAGAATTAAGTGCTTAAAATATAACATAGAAGAATATAAGACAGCTATTCAGCTTTGATGGCTATGACTTCCATAATGGAACTGAATATCTTGAAACTTTGACATTCACTTTTATTCTGCCTTAAAGAGAAAACACTTTTCTGCTTTGATTTAGGTTTTTAGAAAACTGACCCAAATGTACTGTAGAAAAGGATATTTTTAAAATTAAGTATCCATCACATTTCAGAAGTCAGAGATATTAAAAAACATTTTAATATGTATTTATATCACTGTCAAAACTAGATATCAGACCCTCCTGCTAATAATCTTTTCCTTAGTCTAATAGAATACACATTTGAACTGGAGAAAACCTTCATGAAAATATCATTTTAAAGTTGTGTTTGACCACCTGTGTTTGGCCACATGCATTTACTTGAAGAAGCTTTGGGTCAATTAAAAAATTATAATTTGGGTCAATTAAACAATGCTCTCAGCATGCCTGAGCCATCAGCTACTTGGAAATGAATACTAGCCATCTACTTGTAAGACCTAATTATAATTTACTAGACAATACTTTCAAATTTTGTTCTCTCTTTCCTACAAATTATCAAGGAATAAAGTTGAATGGAAAATTAAAACTGAAAGTATCTCTCCTG